GGATACTGGTGCCACGATACAGGGCATGGATCTCCTCAGTCAGTCTCTTCAGTACACCCACTCCATGGTAACACCACCCCACTCTAGATGAATACTGTCTTCTCTTTATTCACATATTGATCTTATTTGTGGTTATGAAAATCAAATGCAACCTATGTCATGGAAAAATAGTGTAATGTTGGCTGATGCTGTGCGTATGTGTGCATGTGTGTGTGTGTGTGTGTGTGTGTGTGTGTGTGTGTGTGTGTGTGTTGTTGTTGTTAGTGGTGATTGTGGTGGTGGGAGAGTGATCATGATTGATATTACCAGTAAGTTACACTGACATATTTTATTAAAGACTTTATGTCCCATGAGTAATAAAAGAAGAAGGAGAAGAAAAAGACGAAAAGGTTTGAAACTAATTAACTTGACTGGAATACTTCAAACCAAACAGACTCCAAAGTCCCAGGGTGATGAAGGGTATTAAACGTGAAGGGAATCACAAATTTTGTATTTGTCCCTTTTGTGCTTTTTGACACAGCTCTGCCACCGCCACTGTCTTTAAATCAAATACGAGGAGCAGACACGCTTTGAAAAGTCATGTTACTGTCATGGTATTTTTTCAGTTTTACTATGGTACATTACATGCTACCATGGCACAGTCACCAAAGTAACTGTCATCCATACGCAGTACAAATTTCTGCTGTGGTACTTTTGATTATATAAATGGTACGTGGTAAATGGTTTAAGGCAGACTGGCTCACTGTAAGTAGTGGAAAAAGCATTCAGATCTTTTACTGAAGTAAAAGTAGCACTGCTATAATGTAAAAATACATTCAAAAATCATACTTACGTTATAGTGGAGTACCACCAAAATGTAGTTAAAGTTATATATCTTGTATTAAGTTAAGTACATGTAAGCAGCAGTTTCATATTATCATAAAGTGAATGTTGAGTAAAAAGTACAATATTTGTTTCTGAAATGTAGTTAAGTATCATTATAAAATATCCAAAAATAGAAGTACAAGTACTTCAAAAACTTCCCATGACTGGCTCACTGTCCCACTGTTATGACACTTGAATACTGAGCCATCCTTAATGTTATTAGTATTACATGTTATTAGTAGCCTGTGCTTTCCCTACTGTGACAAGTCAAAATGTCAGTAGTGAAAGAAGTTGCTATATAGGTAACAATGTGACATTGAATCATAGAGGACCATGAATTATTATGTTTTACTGGTTGACACACTCTCTTTCTTCTAAAATCAATTGTATATCTGAAAGTATGATCTGTTAATAGCCTACACCAACACAATCTTATGTAAATGAGTACAACAGCTCATATCAAATGTGTTTCTAATATCATTCCCCCCTCATGTTGGCAAACGAGGATGGTCAAAACAAGGCCACGAGCCAAAAAAAGTGTTAAAAATGTACAAACATTTCAACATGACAGTCTTCTCAAGGGTTACTGAAGGACCTAACAGCTCAACAGACATTAAATAGAGGATAAGACACAGGTGTCCTCTATCACGGGGAGCAGTCTTCAATTACAAGCTGCCTGGTTCATTAAAACATCACATAAGGAAAGCAGTTTGATCAAAAGGTTATACGAAGTTATGCAATGTACCAAAAAACATCCCCATATAAATATAAAAAAGGGATAGTGTCTAGAATACAGCCTTATGGGTAAAACATATGAAACACCTCATAATATAATGCAGTCTACTAGCTATATACGTAAGTACAGTTTGGAGGCAGCTGTAGTTTCCTTTAGTATTTACATTTTGTGTTACTAAATACTTACTAACTTATTAGATTCTTTTCAGTTTTTGTGTGGTATTGCTACTTTTATGTAAAATATGTAATGTAAAAGCTCTAAAACAATCCTTCTGTTACTAATTAATAACTTCATATAGGCTAGTTTCCCAAACTTTTCATGTCAGGGATCCTCACAGTAGACGCACATTAGACCATGAACCCTGAATATGAGAGGATTTTGTCTTAAGGAATGATCAAATTTGAAATATTATATTCCTCCTTTTGCTGGGGACCCCATAAAACCCACTCAAGGACCCCTCTTAGTCCCAGCACCCCAGTTTGAAAACCACAGGGGAAGCTGGCACTCTTGAGCAATGCAAGGCAAGGTTAAATATTATAACTGTAGCTGTAAATATTATGTAACTGGCTCACACAAATATAGCATTATGTTTTGAATACTGTCCTAGCCCTATTTGACTTCTACAAAAACAACCCCTTTTCCCCCAGGAAGTGATAAAAAATGAATGGATTCATGGACTCCGCAGCAATGGCAAGCTCAACACAGAAATACAACACAATTGGCCCGAGGGAGGTTTGAGCCACCCTTCAAAAATACTCATGGAGGAACTACGCTGCCAAGATTTGGGGATATTTCTGGTATGTAGATGAGTGTTTATTTTGCTAGTGCACACAAGAAAAGACAGTAATAAAAGCATTAAGGAGCATTACATAACAGAATCTATAGGTTTTAGATTAGATTATAGATATCATGTTAACATATTGGCCAAATAAGCACATAAGGTAATACATAACCTTATGATAAATCCTACCACCTTTAACATTAACTTACTCACTCTCAGATAGCCACAGACCCAATGCTGTGGTAATATGATGGTGTTACAATGTGGTTGATGATTTGATGATGTGTAGCACCTTTAACCATGCATCAATAACATTTCCAAAATGCTTTGCAGCTGTAAACCCCACCCATCTGGTGCACCAAGCAGATTAAACAAACTACAATTACTATTTGACCCAGATCTGGTTGGATCTGCCTCCTAAATAAACAATGCGTGCATCTCATCAGACAGGAAATTGAATTACCTCACATTAAGAAACGACCATGGAGAGGGTCACAGGCTGTTTCCTCCGGGGACACACTACCTACCTGCGTTATGTGGAGGAGAAGGGAGGGGAGGACAAACTGTGGGATGCTGCTGTTGCATTTGAATGTGTGCCAGAGAAATCCCTCCTCTGTGTCCTTCACCGCCTCATTTCACTTTGTGCAAAACAGCATCACCCCCCCCCTCCACTTTCTGAGTGACACCTGATACAGCTGATATGAGCATTTGTGCACCTGACATCCTTGCCTGTGCATGAGTGGTTTTATGCAAGTGTGTGTGTGTGTGTGTAGATGGGCTTGCAGGTCTGCGGGTTTGATACAAGTAAAATCGTCCCATTTGCTCATCCGAATGACCTTAATTTTAGTGTGCCTCCTGGCTCTGCATCTATGTGTACTGACCAGACATTTTGGATACAAAAAAAGAGGAATTACGAGGTGATCTGCTGTCTGTCACTGCAGAGATGCAGAGTTAAAAGCAAACCTCCGTTCTCGATGAGACGGGGAGCTTTCTTAGAGAATGAAGACAGATTTGTTTGGGGAAAACCGAAATGCGCTCTGCAAACATCAGAGTGTGGAGAAAGTACAAGAAAATGTAGTTCTGCTTGATAACAGGAAGAGGACATTGATTTAGAGACAGTGGATGGTAGTAGATTACGCATTGATCAAACACCCTCCTCCCCTTTAAATATAGATTTTAGAGAAAATGTGAAGGAAGGTAATTTACTTGCCAACCATTCCCTTTGGATCGCTGTGAGCAAATCAATCACCGGGTGGAGAGACATTATCACTTACGGTAAAGTCCAACAACAGGCCTTCACTTTGAACTGAGACTCTGGCTGCCAATTATTCTGACAGCAGTTATTGGTGACGGTGGAGAATTAAGCATTGCCTTTTAAAATAGATGGATAGATTGAGATTGAAATTGAACAGGTACTATACATTACAAGTTGAGGATGATTTCTAATGTAATTCTTTCTACATAGAGGAATCCAGTCACACAGAAAAGCATTATATCAATAAATGTTAATTACTTACATGTCAGTCAAAGAAAAACAGGGGATAGTTGTGAATCCATGATTTTTAGATTTTAAGGTTACATAATTTTTCAGAAAACAGTCTATTGTTATCTTTGGAAACCTATATTTATTTTTTGTGCAATTACTCTTAAATATTCATTAAAGTTTACATTATACATCTCTGAAAACTGGCATACTGTACATTGCAGGATTGAGTCGTCCATTAATAAATAAGCCTATTATTATTTTCAGAAAATCATATTCTATTAAACTGTTTGCTGTTTGCCATATGATAACCACTCAGTCAGATCAGTCACCGGATACAGCTTTTTTATGTCCCCTTTGGACACTTTGTGCCACAAAGTAAGCCTCCCTGACAGAGAATTGGCAGGTGAAGGTTCAATCCCCGTCCTCTCCTCTCCGAGGCGCAGTAATCTAGCATTTCTCATAGTAGGAAGTGCTGCTTGCGGTAACACTGAATTGAAAGTACGCCATAAATATGGCGCCAAAAGAGTTTTCAAGCTGATGATAAGAGCTGATTTTTCTCTGTGTTGTCTTTTTTTTTTGTGTGTTGTTGCTGGGGGTGGGGGGAGACACTGCAAGACAAGACCCGCCTGTGCGTTTGTGCAGAGCGGTGTGTGCTCGTACACCGGTTAGAGAGGAGTGGAAGCGAGGCAAGTGAAGACGAGGAGAGCTGGATGTTTTATTTTTGAAGGAGGGACGTTGCGAAACTGGCTTGCAATCTTTTCTGACTCATCGTTTGGAAATAAAGCATCCCTTTTTTCTTTTCTTTCTTTCTTTCTTTTTTTTTTTTTTTTGGTTTACCCCTCCTCCTCTTGCTTCCCCCCCGTTCCCCTCCTCTCACTGCTGGCACCGGAGAGGAAAACACAGTCGGGATTTTGACACCACGTTTGGGCTGCTTTTGCAAAATGCGACATGCTTTCCTGTGAGCGGTATGTTGTGCGCACCTCGCCGCCCGCTACACCGTGAACAGCAGCAGGACCAGCGGCGGCTCCACTGGGTTTGTTGTTGCTGACTTATAAAAGGCTGCAACTCCGTGCGACTGCCACTTTTTTTTTTTTTTTTTTTTTTTTTTGGGGGGTGGGGGGTGGGAAGAGATTTTTATTTCGGATTTGGACTCGGTCGCCGGTCTTTGCAGAGCTGACGCGCTGTCAACACGCACCGTGAGAGGGGAAGGGAAGGGAAGGGAAGGGAGGGGAAGGGACAGTCCTGTCACCCAACGTGGATCCAGAGTCAGGGCTGTTTTAGCAGCACCTCAAGCAGCCTGCCAGGGCACCGAGTGGGCAAACTGAACTAGTGCTTAAAAAAAAAAAAAAAAAACCCCCTTCTACTGTAAAACTACGTGTGCCTGGCTCCCAATGATGTCCTAATCTCTGGGAATCGCCCGCCGTCCAGGACTGAGGACGTCTCTGCACCCGGAGCTGACTGCGATCAAGGTAAAATAAACCAAAACAAATCCCACTAATATGTGAAAATGCTAAAAAAAAAAAACAAAAAAAAGAAGAAGAAAATCTAAGAAGTGGGAGTCCACTTTGCTGCTGGTGCTGCAAGTGCTACACCAGTGCTAGGCTAGCAGGAGGTTAGCAGCTCTGTACGCACTTTTGCAGCGGGCTTGTCAGTCACAGTCAGCGGGCAGGGGCGCACACTGTTAGCCTGCGCGGTGCATGTGGGTCAAGGAGGGGGGTGGGTTTTGGGGGGGGTGGGGGGGGCGTTTGTGTTTTATGTGTCGCAGTGAAGGAAATACAAATAACCCCCGTTTAAAAAAGCCAGAGCCTGTGCACGCGAAGGGGAGGGGGGGAAATTAACCGGGTAAACTTGGCCATGTTGTGCTGCAAAACGTAACGTGAACGCACCCCGGTGGGAATCAAGTGTGCGAGCGGGCAGTTGGAGAGTGTCCAAGTGGGGTTATTTTTTTTTTTTTTTGTTGTTGTTGCGTGTAATTGCAACAAACAGGGTCATTTGCAGCGGTGTAGCGAGGAATGTGAGTTGTAACTTGCAGGCGGGGAAGCTGAGACACGCATGTATATACAGATAAGGTGGTTGGTGGTGCGGGAGGGGGGGTTAGGATATGAGATGAAGTTGTGTGATGGTGATTCAGTTGTGTGGAGAGCGGCAGGTCTGGGTGCAGGGTAGTTTCATGGTTCCTGGAGGATATGGAGGTTGCTTCACTCCAAGAGGGTGGGGGTAGGTTTGGGGGGGGCAGCGCAGTTTTAGGAAGGCTAAGCACGCAACCACACACATACACACATCAAGGAATTAGAGCAACTCCTCTTTGCCTCCTTCACCCTCTCCTCCTCCTCCTCCTCCTCCTCCTCCTTCTGCTTTCTGCTGTGCAGATCTAGCTGGCTTTAGATGAGGGGGGAGTGGCTGTTGTTTACCTCCTCAAAGTCAGAGCTCTGTCTGTATCCCTTGGTCTGGATGAGTGTGTCTGTTGCATCCTTACCTGAATAAACAACAACAACAACAAGAGCTCCACATGTGGATGCAGATGCTGATGCTGGGAGTCAGATGTGAGCAGGATTAATGGGGTGTAAGTGGGGCATTTGCCTCTGGTGTGATTTTTTTTTTTTTTTTTTTACCGGCTTGTTGTGGCCACCGATTCTTCATAATTGCCTGGAGAACCTCTAAAGAATATTATTTCTGCCTATTAGTGCCGATCATTAATGAATGCAGCAATTTCAGATTTCTTTTTTAAAATTTTGATGGCACATGTGAAGCTGAACTGGCTCTTGCCTTGAATCAATTAAGCTGAGATCGTCTGGGGACTTGTTAAATGTTCCCAGTTGTGACAGCACCCCCCCCACCCCTCCCTTCTCTTCTCTACCCATCATCACACGCACGCACGCACGCACGCACACACGCACGCACGCACGCACGCACGCACGCACGCACCAACAACTCTGTGTGCCTCTTGCTCACTCTAAACACATATTCAAGCACAGATGCACGTACCATGCTCTTCAAACTCTCAACAAACTCTCGCACACACACAAACACACAAACCGTCCTGCTGGAGATGAGTCATGGTGTGTGGGGGCATAACAACTCTCTCTGTCCCTCTATCCCCCTCTCTGTCTTTCATATCTCTCCTGATGCAGTGCTATCTTGTTTTCTCTCTCTCTCTCTCTCTCTCTCTCTCTCTCTCTCTCTCTGTGTCTCTCTCTCTCTCTCTCTGTCTCCCCCTCCCTTCCCTCTCCTCCCTCGAGGCCCGCCTCTCTCGCCTAGAGACAGTGGTTGTTTACAAGGCAAGTGAACAGGGATGAGAGCTGTTTTCATTTTGCATCCGTTTTTCTGACAGCCCTCCGGCCAGTCATCCATGTTTCAGTCCTTCATTTGTCATCCATCCCTTCATCCTCACCCTTTCTTTTTTTTAACCACTCCTTCCTTCTGCTCCATCCATCCACTGCTCTTTCATCCATCCGTCCATTCATCCCGCCATCTTTTGCCTCATCAAGATTTTGCTGTGATTTCTCTCAGCGTCTGACTGAGGAGCACAGCCATGTATGTGACCACCACATGTATCAGCTCTCCCTGTACAGTATGTCATGTGAAACTCGAGCATGCAGACTTCTTAAGCCTCACATGTGTACATATGCACACGTGTGTATGGGCGGGGGTGTAGTGTAGCGTAGCGTGTGTGGTGTATTTGTGTCTGCTGCGTTAAGCGCTGAGCTCTGGTTGGCTGGGAAAGGGGGTAAGGACCCCCACGTGGTGTGTTGTATCGCATTAGCAGCTACGTAGTGCAGAGGAGGAGGAGGAGGGGGGTGTTGTTCATGAATGGACCGCTGACGTCACGTAAACTGTACCCTCAATCCCCCGCGCACACATACGCACATGCATGTGCCCCCACCCTCCATGTGCACATGCATGGTTTTACAGACATAGCTAAAGAGGGCTGCAGGGCAAATGTGCGTGTATGATTCAGAAATACTTGTCAGATAAGAAGGATGGGAACCAGCTGAGCTGAAGGATTTATGGGTGTGTGTAGCTGCCTGCAGGCGGGTTGGCTAGCTGTTGTGTCACCAGCTCTCTGCTCTGCTTACTAACTAACTAACTAACTAACTAACCAGCATGTTGTTGTCACAAGGGTATTACTACTAGCGGAGGAGGATTTGTGTGTGTGTGTGTGTGTGTGTGTGTGTGTGTGTTCTTTTGGGTGTGTAGTATGGCCTGATATTGGATTTCCAATGGATCTAAATATCTGATCCAATACATATTGGCTTTATTGTTCTTCTCGACTTTTATACTCTTGATGAATGTAAAGAGACAGAATAAGCAAGAAATACAATAATATGGAAATATGTTTTTTAATAAAGGACATTACAGTAATAGTAAATACAAATGTAGAAAAACACTTGTAAGTTATAAAGGTTATATTTGAAGTTATTTGTTGCTAAATCACAATTACAGTTTAGCCAATTTATTCAAATATTGGCTGATAAACATCACAGAAATGATTATTTTGGTCTGTTCTTGGTGTGCGTGAGTTTGGGTTCATGTTCCCTGACATGCAGGGTTTTTTTCATGTCTTACAAGTTTTGCAACATGAACTAACCATGTGGTGGATTAAACGCTGCAGGCATGTTTGTATGCATTAGCCCATGTGTTTTGTCAGTGTTTGTTCTCAGTAGATGACCCTGCTGTGGCCTAGAACCTCATTAGTCTAGAGAGTGTGTGTGTGTGCGTGCATGCTAACCTGCTGTTCAGTGGTTAGGAGATGACGTCAGGCAAATGGAGAGAGGGGGTGTTTTAATTTTTACATGTGTTCCTTATGCCACTGTGACTCACCCTGGTTAGTAATAAGGATAATTGCGAAGTCTGCACACCTGCGCACATTATTGTTGAAGGAGGAAATGGTACACATATTTCGGAAACGCATAATTGGAATGAGCTTCATAAGTCTTGGTCCTGGCAAACACGTCCCTTGCTGACTGAATAAGAACAGTGAATGTTCGGGTGCAGCAGATGGTTTTTCAGATAAAATTAATGATCCATTATTTTGTCATAGTTCACTGTGAATTCTATGTTGTTGCCACAAAGTTGACAGTAATATCATTAGAGCATATCTCACCAGGCTTATGTTTCGTTTCCTTTATACTTATTTCATGGGGTTTTCATTTCCCCTCAGTAAAGAGGCCTTAACCACAGCAGTCCTGCCGTAGGTCTCTTTGCATTTTTTATTATAGACTTCTCGGTTTTATATCTATGCAAATGGAAAATATTTGGGTTGGTCAGACAAAACAAGCGATTATGAAGATGTCACTTCTGGTAAATTGTGGGGTGATTTTCACATTATTTTCACATTTATAGACTAAATGACTAATTGATCAGTCAGAAATAATCAACAGATTAATCAATAATGGAAAAAAGTTGCTATTATTAGTTGCAGTCTAAGAGTATCTTTATTTGATGTACGTTACTGTCAGCCCCCCAAAAAAAAAAAAAAACAAGTTACGTTCCAGAAAGATTTATTAAAATTTGTTATTATCCATTAGCTTTCTCCTTTTATCATACTAAATGTCAGGCTATTCTCTTTCTGTCTGCCAGCTACCTCCTACTCTTCTTTAGGGTAAAAATAAAAATTGTGAAGGCTGTAAGCAGAGTGATGGACAGGCTGACAGATGCTGCCTGAGCTCCTGATGGGAAGAGTTTCAGGAGTTGGTGTGTGTATGTTTGTGGGGAGAGAGGCCGAGTAAACAACAGACCGAAACAGTATGTCAGACCTTCCTTTGCTGTTTGAACACCCGGTGATCAGAGATGGAAATAAGCTTCTGACTCAGCATGTCATTCTTGAAAAGAATTCATTTGTGCTTAATGTAAATTTAAAACCATCAGATATATGAAAATGAATTAAAGAAGGCAGGCGAGCTGAGGTTAAGAGGGAATGAAGTTAGATATACATTTACTTTTCTTGTTCTGAAAATGGCTTTTCAGCTGAGTTTTGAGACCATAGAGACAAAGTTTGCAGACGGGTAATAATACATACAAAGGGAAGTGCGAAAGGGAAGAAGAGAGCTTAAAGGTGGTGAAGAGTTGAGTTGGGTGACTGGATAAAAGGAGGAGGAGAACGGCAAGAAATGAGAAGACGGGGAAGCCAGAAGGGACAGAAGGTAGAGCAGTGGAGGAGATGTAGAGAGTGCAGGATGAAAGACGACAGGAGGGGTGGAGGAGGGCAGGTGCTGGTAGATAAACAGGGAGGTGGTCGTCAGGGTCGCTGGGAGTGAAGGGCAGAGTGTTCATCCTCCATCTCTCTGTCCTTTTCATCCCTCCTTCACTCCCTTCCAGGAGTTAATGAACTCCTGATGGCAGTGGAGACGGGAGCGATGGATCAATCCTCCATCTCTCTCTGTGTTTCTTGCTCCCTCCCTCCTCCCACCTGTCCTCCCCTTTTGCTCTCTCTCCTCCTGGCTTTTTGGCAGGGCCCCAGCTTCGCTGG